CACCTAGAGTAATGATGCTAAAACTCAGGTTTAATTTCATCCTGCCTTTCCACCATAATCTAAGTGGCATTCCTTTGCGCTCCCATGGCACCTTGAGAATATCTCTGTAGCACAATGCATATCACATTGCGTCATTGCATATGTGTCGTCGTTGGACCAAACTGTCTTTGAAAGGGGCTGTGTGTGTAATTTTGCATTTCTGCCAGCAGTGTATGAGAGTGTTGCTCTACATCCTCGTTGGTTTTTGGTGTTGACAGTGCGATCCTGTGTTTTTTGAATCTCTTTCTTAGCTTAGTCATTTGTTTTGCTGGAGAACACCCTCAAATGTTTTAAAGGACATGTAAAAGGTAAAAACTCTCTAGATCCTTTTATGACTGAAAATATCTTCATTGTACCCTTACATTTAATCAATACATTGACTAAGTATAGAGTTCTAGGATAAAATTAACTTTTCCCCTGGGGTTTGAAGGTGTTTCTCCCTGTTCTTTTAGCACTAATGTATTTGAGAAGCCTGATGCCATGCTGATTTTTATTTTTCTGTAAATGGCCTGTTTTTACTCTCAGAGGGCATTTAGAATCTTCTTTTTATCCCTAGGCTTTGAAATTTCAGAATAATATATGATTTGAGCTGGGACAGACAGGGACTGAAGGGAGGGAATGTTTTCCAGGGCGGCGCTGGACCTGAAAGTATAGAGGTGGGAAACAAGGAGTGCTCAGGGCGTTTGAGGCAGCTATGAAAGCCTTTTTTTTTTTTTTAATTTACCAACTTGACTTGTGTCATGCGTAAGAACATGTGTAAGATTTTGTCCTGTATTGTAAATTCAGGGTTTTGACAGGGTGGTTGAGAAAACAAAATTAGATAATATAAAAATAAAATAATTGAAAATTACTCTTTTGGAAGCAGGTTTGACAACACCTTGTAATGAGCATAGTTCCCTCTCTGTTTAAATCTTATCAGAATGCCTGGATAAGCCCTTGGGTAGCTAGAGGTGGTCTCCAGGGACTGGACGTTGAGCAGGGAGTTCAGATAACTTGAGGAAGAAAAACACCGCCCTTAATAATAAAAGGTGGTGGGAATATTCAATGGTGGGAAACAGGGAGCTCTGAGAGAAAACACTAATGAGTTGGGCCAAACCTGCCTGGAGCATGAGTCAGGGAAGGTCTTCCTCTCTTCCCTGATTTTAATGGGCCTGAAGAAGGTCTTTGAAGGTCACATAAATGTCTAGTGGGAATAGACACACTGTTCACTGTCTCATATGAGACACAAACCCTCTCTTCTATCTCTTTCATGAAATTCTACACTCTCATATAATAATACCTTTATGGGAGTAGGCTTCTGTTGAGGGCATCTCAAAGGAATGGATGAAACAGTAATATTTGAGTCATGTGTGCAACACTTAGCATAATGGTCAGCACCCAGTAAGAGCCAAATTTTTTTATTTGTGTTCTTATTCTTAATATTACAATTATAAGGTAGAATTACCGCACTCTGCAACCCTGACAATATAACAGAAACAGGAAAACTGCTTATAATCCATGGTCTGCTTTATATGTGTGCATCTTTATTTCATACCGACTAATTTTACAACTGAAACTGAAATCAAATGTTTTCATGTTTACATTTTCCAGTGTGCTAAACCTTCAGTTGAAATAGGAAAATGGAATTAGGAAGTGTCATGAGATGGAGGTGCCTCTCTTCTGCCTGTGCTGCTTTCCAAGGGAGTAGTGACATGTGGAAGTGATGAGTTTTTACATGAGGACACCATTTATTACTGGCAATATTTATCTTGCATTTTTTAACCAGTGCTTTTCTACCTTCATGCAAACCATTCCAGCTTCAAGGAGCCCCATCATGATTGCTTATGTTTGCCTGCAATACTTTCTCACTTGTAACCTCAGAGTCTCTTCTGAACGCAATAGTCAAAATGAAGTTGCAAAATGCCTTGCTCATACTGGTGCTCAATAAATATTTGGTGTATTGAAGAACAGCCAAGAAGTAATTACTTAAATCTTAAAAGATGAAAGCACTCAAAGACAACCTGATGATTGGTTTGTGTCTTCAGACTGCTGAAACAATGCATTTTGAATTCTCTGGAATCTCTTCCTTACTCGTTGTTGTTCTAGTAGATAGCAGGTTCTTAAAAAAAATCAAAATACAAGAGTGAGGAATATATACAATCATTTCAGGCCTGCTGAGACCCCTTAACCCTGTTTCCCCTCACCCATATGGGCAATCTGAACCTGAAGCTACACCTAAGTCTTTCCAGCGTTCTGAAGCCCACACTCGGACTTCCTGTGATTACAACAGCAGCAGTTCACCTGGACTGGAATTGCTCTCATCCTTAATGGGGTCGTTTTTGCTTCTGCTCAAATATAAAAAGACACGCAATTTTACAATGAAATGGTATATGCAGAAAGCCTGGATACATCGTAGGCGTTTCATGAATGCTGTTTCCTCCATATTATTTCCCCTGTCTAAGAGGAAAACACAAACAATTGTTTCTTATTTCCATATACAACACACACACACACACACACACACACCCACAAAGGGTGTAGATTTAATTTTTTACTGAAATAATGTTAGACTAAAGAAGCAGTTGTGCATTTTGACCATAGGACTGATTCAACAACAAGGAGGACATGTCATAGACAATTTTAAAAATAGGACTGGCCATTATCCTGCTTGGAAACTGAAAACTAGAACTCCCTGTTAGTCAGTGACATGGATTAAATGTTCCATTGTGTCAGGAGCACTGAATGAGATACTGTGCTATTTTCAAAGGCATAACAACATGTGATTTCTTTAAATAAAGGAGTGCCAATATAAAGATAGCCATAATCAAACAAAATTCAGATACCTAAAAAAATGCAAAGAGAAAACAAAATCTTATGGACAGTAATTTGTGGTATTTTAGCTCTTTCTTTGTTACACATTGATACTAACCTGATATAAATGACTACAATGCTATATTTCTTCCATTGATAATAATGATCTTATTTTCCAGTGAGTCCTAATACTATAGTCCCTCTAAAGGATTCAGTCCAGCCACTGTGAATCAGAAATGTGTACCTTCTTCCTTTAGCTGTTAATGTTCTATTTGAAGCTAAGCTTATTATATAAGTAATGTATGATAACTTCTTCTCCAGGTACTTATATAAAAAAGATGTTTTTGTGTAAAAAATATTCATGTTTATATTCAACACACACACACACACACACACACACAAACTGCCTTTCTACTTATTTCAGCATCTATATTATCATTGCCTGTGCTTGTCTTTCCTACTTGACTATAATATCTTGGGAATAGAGAATATGTATTATCTCTTTTTCAAAGTTCCAGGAACAGTGTCTAAAGCATAGTTGGGACTCCATCAATTTTGTGAAATGAATGCATGAACGATGTGTTTTTAGATAAAGCTAAGATTCAGAGGAGCTTAAAATCAATAAATAGGATATGGTATGGGGTAATGTAAAGCCGAATTGTTAAGAGATCTGATAGAGATCGCCGAATCTACATATGTAGGTGCATTCTGGTGTTTTAACCATATGGCTATCAATTCCCCATTCCACAGAATAAAAATAAAACAAAATTAGATATCCAGAGAGTTAGGGTCTGGGTTAGCCTAGTAGCCTTTTACAGGTGCAATTTATTTTTGCAGTTAATAGAAGAACACTGAATCTTCGCAGAATAACCTGATTCCAACAGAATTAAATAAAGTTGTTCATTTTTTCAGGTTTTTGACATATTTCTATCTTTCTAGACTGTGAAGTAAATCTCTATTTCCCAAAAGTCCCAGTGCCAATTTTAATGATCGTGTCCACGTGACATTCTTTTTTTTTTTTTTTTTTTTGTTTCATTGCTATTAGTGAATGACAAGTGAAGGATATTCATTTTAACTTGAAAATGTCAGGTATGCACTTTAAGAGATATATTTTTGCAGCTTTTAATGAGGTGGTGTTTCTTTTTGAAAGAAATACTCATCTCTGATGCCGGTGCTGTGCAGGTGACAACTGATATTTAATAAGCGATGGTTCCTGTATTAGTTGCAGTCCTCTAAAGAAAATGTCTTAGATTGCTTTTGAAAAACTCTTAGCATCAGTAGCCCAAAGGCAAGATATGACCTTTTTATTACATAATGATAATCATTTATTATCTTACAATGTATCTTAACGTCACAGACAAAATGCCACTTTGATAATTGCTTTCAATTAGCTTTGAGCATAGCATATATTCACAAAATGTCTTCTCTAATTTAGACTTGAATTAGAGAAAATTGCAGGCATAATCTACTTTAAGCTTCTCATTTAAGGTGATTCGCAGTTTTATATCAAAGAAATCAAAACGAGTAGCTTTAGAACAGTCTCTCAAAGTGTTTTAAGCAGGCTTTTCAATATTTGATTCTATTCTATTACCAATTAATTAACAAATTAGAAAGTAGTTCATCATTCCTGACCTTTTATGCATGTTAACTTGTAACTTTCAATTCTAATGATTGTTTTGAAATTAAGCCTCATAGTTCTCGTTGAAAGAGAGAAACAATCTGATTAGTAAGATAAATAAGGCTTGTCTTGATACCAAGTGCCTCTTGATGTTTGGTTAAAGCTGGGATTCTGAATACTATAATGTTGCATCCTTTCCTGTCTTAAATAAGTGATACATAGAAAATGGTAAATAAATTATATGAGATAATCATGTAACCGAAAGAGGAGTTTGGGCGTATTACTACGATTGAGATTAGAGGTAACAAACAGGATGATTAAAATGTGGTTTCAATTAATTTTTATGTTTTGTTAGTAAAAAGCATTGGAATATGGTTTAAATGCATATCATTATCTCTCTTAAAAATATGTTTGAAGTAATAGAAACTTAGAAGCTACACTTTTATACTTGTGCTGTTACAGTGATTTATGGAATGTTATTAACCTAACAGAAATTCTCAGGAATTGGTGTTATATCTGACATTACTTTCTTTCTCTTTTTTTTTTTCTTTAGATAAAAATTACACACAAGAACCAAGCCCCAATGCTGATGGGCCCTCCTCCAAAAACGGGGTTGTTCTGCTCCCTCGTCCAAAGAACAAGAAACCGAAGCAAGGAATAATCTTGTATTGTTTCTGTTCTCAGAGATCTAATTAGCATAATTGGGCCATGGAACACTTATGCTGGAAATCTTTAAATCATTTCAAGTCTCCTGCTCATACAAAATCATGGAATTCATCTAAAATTCATCTAAGAGTTTTTGTTACTGAGTTAACGTAAAATTCATCTCTTAGAAAATTTGTCAGTTTTTATAGGCATCTTTGCATGAAGAAAGCAGAAGTTTACATGAAGTGATATTGCAAATTTTTGTTGCATGCATTCCCATAGATTTTTTATGTCTCTCATCCATTCCTCCCCCACTTTCCATTTCCTAACATGTGATAAAAAAACATATAAACATAAAAAAGGATACCATGGGCAATGTGATTCCCAGTGTGATGTCAGTTATCAATAAGCACTGATAAGTAATGCTACAATGATCAAAAATGCAGATTGCTATACTTGTCCCTTTAGAGTCAGTGTATCAATAGTCTTTGAGGAGAAACTTTTAACTAAAAGATTTTATTAAATAGTTGTATATGATACCTTGGTGTATCTAAGTAATTTTTCTTTAATTTCTTAATGCTTCTGAGTGGAATTTAAATTACCAAGCATAAAATTTTCTTGTGCTGAAAAATAGAGAGTGGTTTTTATTTTGTATAGTTTTGTTTTTAATTCCAGAAATAAGTGAAAACATGTTACTTCGCAGTAAAGTGTGGTAATGTGACAAGCCTTATTCCTTTCTGCATGTAAACCTAGAAGATTATTCATAATCACACCAGTAACCAAATGGATGTTTTAAACTACGTGCCTAATAAACTGTGTTTCCCACCAAAGATTCAGAAAAAGATGCGTGAGAGAAATGTTTTAATGCATAATTAATTGTGGAGAAAATTTATGGCTCTTATGATTAATTTTTTGATGACTAAAAGTCTGGAAGAGAGTGAATTACCAATTAATTATAATTAAAATTCTCACCTTTCAGGGACAGTAGGCCATGCAACACAATCAAAGCTCAATGTTACTAACTTAACAGGAATTAGACATAAGAAGCTGATTTCTTGCTCTTTTGTATTTTCTTTTGGTTTTTATTAATATTAAGTGTCTATAATTTTTAATGGATCAATTCCGTACACTTAAGAAAGTAAATGATTGTATCAGCTCCTATCTAATATAAATTGATACCTGTAAAAATATTGAGCTCATTGAAGCAAGTCATGCCCCCTCACCTACTCCACTTCCACCTCTATGACATTTCAAATGTTTATCTGGAAATAATGGTGTAGGTCATTGTTTAGGACACTCATGGCATGGCTGGACTCTCTGAATGTTTAAAGAAATTATGGAAGAGTAATTTTCTTACTGTTTCATTTATTCTGTGACACAAAATGAAATGCTTTTCTGAGCAGTTTGGTATTGTTCATTCTTATTGACCTGCATCTTATCATTGCATGTTTTATGTTTTCAAACATGCCACAAGGAGAACAAGTGCTTGAAATGCATGATTTATTAGTTTCTCCCTCCACTCTGCATTAAAGTACTAATGATTTATCAGTTCTGTTTTTTTTATTGATTCATTCATCTTTGAATAACAAATAGCATTTAGTGATTCTGTTGAACACAATCCTGTGCATGGATTTATGGATTTCAAGGAAAATTGCTATACTTTTTGTTCTTTGGTTTAAAAACTCAACTGAATACTGTTTTATCAAAAAGCTACTCTCAAGCAATGTGCTACAATGGAAGATTATGTCCAAAGCATATTCTTTTAGTGTTCCAGGCACATAAATGGGAAATATCAATCAATAATAGGTTTAATTGCTTTGAAAATAAAAGCTTTTGAGCAAAGTTAAGACATAATCTAGCATTCCCAGGAAAATTATTATTGTAATTGTAAATGTAGTACAGCAATTGTTTTACATAGTATGATTTTTTAATGGTATTTGGCAGAACGGTAATCTAGACCAAAAATAATTCAAAACGGTAACAAAAATGCATTACGGGTACAATGTTATGTAACACACACATTATTCTGTGTGAATCTGTGGTTACAGGTAGTAAATATTTTCACAGAAAATGACAAGTTTTTCTACAATGGTCAGGCAGGCTTTGTGTCATACATATTCTGAAGCCACGAGTTATTTTATGTTCAGTACAACATGCAATTATTTCTTGGCTACCTTTTAGAGTGTATAGTTTGAAGGCAGCAACAGTTTGTGAATCATTCTTAACAATCTGTGCAGTGGAAAGCTGTTGAAAAGACAGTATGATGCGACAAATTAAACAACTGGCCTATAAGACTTCAATAATTGAAATAATGGGATGTTGCTTTACTTCAATGTAGCTACATAACTGTAATTATGAATAATAGTAGTTACATTTTCAATAAATTGGAGTCATTGGTATCAATAATAAATGTTCAAATAGCAATCGAAGTTTACATTTTGCAACTGATTTTCTAAAGATACTTATGCGCCTGCCCTTCAAATACACTACTCCTGGGGTTTCGAAAGTAGTTTATAAAAACCTGCTTTGATGGTTTTGAAGCCAGAGAGAATGTTCTTCCCCTTTTAATGCCAGCTTCAAGTGAAGAATATTTATTTTAAGAAAATTTCTAAACTGAAAGTTCTATGGTATATTAAAATATTGAATAATGAATGTTAGCTTTACAAGATAGAATTTTTTCTTACATATGTGGGTGAGTGTTTAAGTAGTTGAGTCAACCTCTTTTAAATATAGTAGACATAGTGATGTAAAGTTTTAAGTGGATGAAGTTCTTAAGTAAAAATTAACACTGAGTTTATAAGGGTCAAGGGAAAAGGGAAAAACAGATAACGTTCTTTGCTAAGCATTGTTATATACACTTAGTTGATAAACAGAGAGATTCCAAACTAAACCTGGAGTTCATGCTTCTAACATGAATGAGATGTCTGTGTAGAACCAGAAATTTTAAAGGATGTATTTTTCTACTTAGATGTATAAACCATGTGTATTTGATTCAAAAAGTGCATGTCAGCTTATTATGGAGGATGAAGATATGTCATAGGAAGAGAGAAAATCAGCATTTTAATTTCTTTTTATTTTTAAACAGGTTATGGGATTATAACCAATATAAAGCAAAAAGCTAAAATGTTTAGGGTAGTTTACTATAGGCAGAAATTTATTTTTTTAATTTAATCTTTATTGTATTTTTTCCATTCCCATTTAAGCTCCTTGTAACCCCCTCCCCCCAGCAATCACCCCGCTATTGTCCATGTCCATGAGTCCTTTTTCCTTTTCGCTCAATCCCTCCACCCTCTCACCTCCTGCCCCAGCACTAGCTGTCATCCTGCTCTCCATCTATGAGTCTGTCCCATTTTCCTTGTTAGTTCAGTGTGTTCATTAGATTCCACATATGAGTAAAATCGTATGGTATTTGTCTTTCTCTGACTGGTTTGTTTCACTTAGCATAATGTTCTTCAGGTCTGTCCATACCATCGCAAAAGGTAAAATTTTCTTCTTTTTTATGGCTGAGTAGTATTCCATTGTGTAAATGTCTAATGGTTGTTTCATCCACTCACACAAACAGGCCCAGCATAGGGAGCCACACACTAGGCAGAAATTTAAGTCCAAAGAGAATTAATGAATAACGTAAATGGTTCTGCATTTTGTTCTTTTTTTTTTTTTTGCTTTGTTTTATGGGGATGAGAAGCAATTGTAATTTTCAAGAAAGAATCTGTTTTGAATCTCTATTATATTCTACTTGAATAAGACAAAACTTTTAAATGGCTCCATTCGTTTTTGTGTCAAAGTTATTTTGCTATTTATTAGTTACAAAAAGGAAAATGTACTTTTCATGGTACATATAACCACAAATAATTATGCAAATATACTACATATATCCTGATATTGAAAATGATTGAGCCCTCATAATATATGTTGAGGATGTAAAATATAAATAAACGGGAACCTGCAAAAGAGCTTTTATTCCTTGAAAGTCAGAAATCACTCTTTAAATCTCCCAATTAAATTGCATTCTGTTTAAATAAAGTTTGGATAAACCCACATTGGTAAGATTCTATACACCCTAGTTGTGTTTAAAAACATGGTGTTGGCTTCATCACTAGTATCTTACTTTCCCAGAAAGTGTTATATATGTAGTATTGTTTTTTGAAATAAAAATGTTAACCACTCAGATCAGTGTCATTCCTTACTGCTCTTTTGGCCAGATTTTGTTCATAAATGAACTCTTCAAGCAGTTGAAAGCCAATCTACTCTGGTAAATATCCACTCAGAGTGCCAGGCCAGCAACCTGCCTTTTGTTGGGAAGGAAGGAGTCTGAGTATTTGGGCACTGAAGTCAGTGACATTAAGAGCCAGGTCATTCTCCTTTGTAGTGCTTTGGCCCCAAGTTGCTGCTGCAAACATTATTCCAGCAATTTCGGAGACTCCAGGAGAACCAGTAAACCAGATGATAGAATTATGGGGACTGAAAGACTAGGGCAGGGACTGTGTGAGTACTTATGTAAAATTTTCTAGATGAAACTGACTTCCGATTTTACTTTGTGTAACAAACTTCAACAAATATGGGCACTGACTTGGTACAAGATATTTTACAAGGTATTTTCTAGCAATTAAAGACTTTTTAAAAAATGACATCTCTCTCTAAAAATCTTTCTCTGTATTAGAAAAGTTAAGTAAATGAATGGCCATATTACATGATGGAGTAAGGTAGGAGCCAAGGTAAGCAAAATGTGATAACTATTCAAATGAGTAAAGGTGATTCGCTGGGAGGAATGCGTAAATGTCTCTAGAAAGGATAAATCTGCAAATGGCCTTTCAGGGTTGCTGGAATTTTACATGGAGAAGTAGAGTGGAGGATCTCCTGAATAAGAGAAGGTTAGTGTGGGCATGGGGACAGAAATCAAGTCCCGATGCTTCATCACCTCATTTCATACAAAGGTTAGAGAATTTATAAATTAGGCATTGGGGTGATGGTTGTTCTTAAACTTATTAGGAAAAGAAGGAGCAAGAGAAGAGAAAGAAAAAAAGAGAGAAGCAGGA